GTGTGTGTGTGTGTGTGTGTGTGTGTGTGTGTGTGTGTGTGTGTGTGTGTGTGTGTGTGTGTGTTGAACTGAGCTCCAGGGAGGATTTTTTTTTACAAATAGGCAGTGCTTTGTACCAGCAAGTGTTTAGGCAGCTCCACACGGCCACAGGAGATTCAAGGATTTATCAAAGGTGCACGAATGTGTCAAAGCAACACTCTGGGTGTGTTTTGATGATGTAATGACTTTATAACATGATATAAAGCTTAGAAAAGTTGATTTTGCATAATACCATACCTTTAAAATGTCATTTGCCTTCAGAGGTTTATAGTAACTAAGTACTTCGTCACAGTACTTAAATTATTTTTTTGAGGATTTGTAATTTTACCCATTATTTTTTAATTAGCTACTTTTACTTTTATTTCATTATATTTTAAAGCTAAAAATTATACTTTTACTTCTTTACTTTAAAATATAACACCTAGTTACTCCTTAGCAAATTAAATATGTCTGAACTCACCATGAAAAATGTTTCTGCACTCTAAAAAATGAAGAGCTGAGTTTACTCAACAAAGTAATGTCTGTTTGCTCCACTAAGCCTAGTTGAGCAAACTGAGCAAAGAATATACAGTACATATATTGCTCATTTTACTCAACCTGGCCTAGAGGATCCAGTTTGGTTTAGTAAATTCAACAGGTTATTTCTTAGAGAGTGTGTAAAAGTACTTTTACTTTCCCAATTTCTGTGAACAGTTTCATGACTTTTACTTGAGTAGTTTTCTCATCAGCAAAATTTATTTTTACCAAAGTAGTAATGTGACGTTCATGAACGATCCGAATCTTTTGAATGGCTCTTTACAATGAACAATAGGAGCCGAGTCGCAGGCAGTAACGAGCCATTTGTAGTTTTATTTATTTTATTCTTCATATAATCTTTATTGTTTCATCCTTAAATCAATCCCGCTTTGCTTTTTCACGGAAAACAGGCAGAGCGGTGGAGTACAGAAGCTCACGGGAAAGAGGGAGGCGGGTTTCTGCTTGACAAAACACATGGTTCCACCCACGTAACGTGATGACGTAACCCGTTCAAAATTGAATGGCTCTTTTGAACGGCTCTATGAAACAAACGGCTCCCCAAGATCTGGATACCTTCAAAGAGCCATTTATCCCATCACTATACCAAAGTCATTTTCTGTTCATGTAATTTAACTTTTACTTATTATTGTCATTATCGTTATTCTTTTCAAGTAGTTTATAGACCTCTGCTTGCCTTTAGCGTTCAATAAATCCCGATGAGTTGATTCTGTTGAACGTACCTTTAGGCTGACCTGATGACTCATGGTCTCTGAGCTCATCTGGAACTTGACAGCATCTATCTCCTCTCGGCAGGACTCCTTGACGCTCTGCATCTGGCTCTTGGTCTTTTCCAGCTGTTCCTGGAGCTCGGCGATGGTCTCTGGAAGTGACTCGTTTCGTCTCAGCTCCTCTTGTAGATGGCTGTTCTCCAGCTGCAGTTCTTCTACGCGCTCCTCGAGCTGCTCTACCTTCTTCTTCAGCTCTTCGGTCTCAGCGGCTCGGCCTGCCCAGTGCCTGCTGGACTCCTCCTTCTCTGCGTTCAGCTTGCAGATGGCCATCCCCAGCTCMGCCATCTCGGTGTTCGCTCTGTGCAGACCCTCGCTGATCTCATTCTTCTCCAAAGCCAACCTGTTGTTTTCTGCTTTGACTTTAGACAGTTCTTCGTGGARGGCAGCCATGGAAATAGCCAGCTCTGAGTGGGCTGCGGCTTCTCGATCACYCTGTTCAATGAAGGCACGTTCTTTATTTTTACACTCCATCAGCTCTGCTACGTGCTTCTGATTCAGTGCCTCCATTTGGGATTTCAGCTGCTCAGTCAGAGACCGAAGCTCATCTCTTTGGGCCTCTGTCACCTCCAGCAGCGCTTGGAGTTTTAGCTTCCCCTCCTCAGATCTCTGCACCTGCACCTTTCGGTCCAGGAGCTCTGCCTGAAGTCTGGACACCTCCTTCATATTAACCTCCAACTGGCCTTCAGCCACGGTCAGTTTGGCAGTGATTTCCTGCTTCTCCTTGTCCTGAACTGAGCTCTTCTCTAGCTGTGAACTCTCCACTGCCTGTTTCTCTGCCGTGACTCTTTCTATCACCTCCGTCTGTCTGGAACAAGTCGCTTCAGCGTTAGCTTTAGCCATCTCGAGCTCTTTTACRTTAACCTCTAGATCTCTGACAGTAGCTTTCAACTTCACAAGATCCTTCTCTTCACTCTCCAGCTGTTCCGTTTTGGCACTAAGCTCTTCTCGAAGGCCAACTTCTTTTTCGTTTGCAGCCTTCACGTTTTTCTCCAGCTCCTCGTTCTTTTGCCGAGCGTTCCTCAGCTCCGTTTGCACGCGGCTAACGGTCGACTGTAACTGGTCCTGCTCMTCCTGCAGACTCTGGTTCTTCCTCTCCAGCTGCTCTAACGTGGTCTCCGACAGTTTCGCGGCCATTGTGGCTCGCTGCAGGCTCTCATCCAACCTGCAGTTCTCCTCACGTAGCGCCTTCTCTTTCTCGTCCACCGTCATCTTGGCGTCGTCCAGCTGGCCTCTGAGTTGTTTCTCTGAAGCTCTGAGAGACGCTACTTCAGCCTCGAGTGCTGTTCTAGCCGCCATCGTCTCGTTTTGCAGCTCCTCGTTTTTCTTCGCGGCGGTCAGCAGCTTCTTGTTTGATTCCAGTAGATTGGTGCACTGCATACTGTAGTCCTCTATCTTTGCAGCCTGTTCTTTGATCTTCTCTTCGTGGTCAGTGAGGCTAGTGGTCAGTTTGTCCCTCTGTGTGTTCAGYCTTTGGTTCTTAGCTTCTAGTTTTCGTAGTGTCTCGCAGCTGGAGCTGAGTTCTGTCTCTTTTCTCCTAAGCTGCTCTGTAACGGCAGCAACTTCTGCCTCTAAAGACTCATTCAGGCCATCYAAGTTTGCCTGTTTTTCATCTAAATCTTGCCGCGCTCTCCTCCTCACCTCCTCCAACTCTTGCCCTTTCTCCTCTAGAGATCTTTGGAGGTCTTGCAGCTGCTTCTGCAGGTTGCTTGCCYTCTCCTCTCTTAACGTCAGCTCACCCCGAAGCTTTTCGATCGCACTCGCCTGTTCCTCCYCTCTCACCTCCAGCTTGGCCTTCCCGTCCAACACGGATGTGAGTTTTGCTCTGTCGGTCTTTGACGCAGCTTCCTCGACTCTTAGCTCCTCTTCTAGTTTCTCCGCCTGCCTCTTCAACTCCACCACCTCAGCTACGGCCTGCACCTTTCCATTCTCTGCCTCTTTCAGTTTGTCCAACAGTTCGTGGATCTTCTGAGCTGAATCGAAGCGGCTGGCCGCCTGCTGACCCTTCTCGTTCAGAAGCCCGTCCATCCTCACGACGAGCTCAGAGTTCTTTTGCTCGGCGGCTTCCAGCTTCTCCTGAAGTAAAACGAGCCGAGCCTCCTTGGCTTTTTTCTCAGTTCTGAGAGCTTCCACCTGTTTGGACAGAGCTTCCTCTTTCTCCTTGAGTTTCCCCTGCGAGGACTGGAGCTTCTCTTGTGCATCAAGTGACACATCGAGTTGACTCTGGAGCTTCTCGATTACRGCTCGGAGCTGGGCGTTGTCCTCGCCTAGCTGCTGGACCTTATCCAGGAGCCCTTGCTGCTTAAGCTCAAACTGATCCAGCTCCAGCCGAAGGTCTTCGACTGTGCTAACGTCCTCCATGCAGGCAGAGAGAGATTCATTRGGGTCACTTAACAAGCTGTGGACGTAGTCAGGGCTGGAGGGAAACTCAGTTGCTTGCTAGATGTTTAGGATATAAATCAAAGAAAGAGAGTGAGTAATGAATATCATTAAAAGTTATTTTTTAAATCTTATTAGATGCAAATACCTGAGAGTATGAACTAGCCAGACTGTTAATACTGGAACTACGACTAGGTGGTTTCCACATGTGACCAGGTGAATTTACACTTCCCAGTGTCCTCCTGTTGATCAGAAAAGAAGTCTTTTACTGTWAACATTACCTCTGCTGAGGAAGTCCTGTGGTTAGCTGAGCTAGATTGTGTGTTTGACTGCAGCTTCAGTTAAATGACGATAAAACAAACCGACAAAACACAGCACAGGTGGAAAGAAAGAAATGTTTGTATGATGTCTATTTTTAAASTGCCATTTCAGATTATTATTATTTTATGTTCTTTTTTTTACCGTGCAAATGTTGGCCAGGAGGCATCAAGATCATGCCCTCTGGAAGCCACATCAAACTGGACCTCGTTGAGCTCATACAGGTGGGTGATTATGTCAGAACTGTCTCTGGGATTCAACAAAGGACTTCTTGCGTAATACCAGTCACTGAGTGGAAAAATCATGTGGGAAAAGTCAGAGTAAAACACAATAAAACTACTAGAAACAATAATACAGAGCACTGTAAYTGATTCTAGCAGTGTAAGAAAATATTGAAATACTGAAAAACCACAATATTTCATTTCCTGATACTGTATACTGTATCCATTTTAAATTAATGCTTAATGGATGAATGTTATAAGAAGAAACGTGAAATACAAATGCAGTTCTCACTGTTTTCAGTGTTCTTTTAAAGCATTTGAATAAATTTAAAACCTCACCTATTAGACTTTATGGATTTGAGTTAAATTAGCTTGCATGTAAAAAAAACTGGAAATAAACTTGTTTGCATTTGTTCTGCTGTGCCTTAATTTTTACCTTTGCTGTTATTTGTATGTTCAAATAAAACAGTAATTAAAGTTTAGAACGAATGTGATCKTCTGCGTTTCTCTTGTTGTAGCAGTTAGTGACTGAAACATGTTATAAAGAACAAGTTCTTGTTGGGAGTATTAATGAGTAATGAGTTCTGCTCTTGGTGTGTCCAAGAAGGCAAAAACTACATTAAAAGAAAGCAGTGGCCTTTAGAAGGACCAGTAGCCTGGTAAAAACCAGACCCTTGTCCTTCACTTTTCTTCGTACGAGGGTCTGGACTCTCGGCTATAGAGAAGCGATTCTTGCTGGAGGCGTGGCCTCTGCTGAAGTTTAAAATGATTGGATCGAGGGTCTGGACTCTCGGCTATAGAGAAGCGATTCTTGCTGGAGGCGTGGCCTCTGCTGAAGTTTAAAATGATTGGATCAGTTGGCCGCGTCATATGTTGCTGTGAAGGAGGTTGAGCCACGAAGCTAACCAGAAATCTCGTGCGCTGTAAACAACCCTACTGAGAGGAGAAATATACCGAGCTGAACGAGACGAKTGTAAATGAGAGCTGCTGCTTCGTCAGACAAATTTAATTTAATTTGGAAGCCTTATCAACACAGACTGGCTTCATTCWCTTCCTCCACCGCCGTATGCTAAAKTAACTAGCAGACACTGCGCAGAAAATCGTCATTCAAAACTCCGCCTTCTGTTTGCTGATTGGCCCGGTTAAAATAAACTACAAGCAGACACTGSGCAGAAAATGGACGTTCTGTTCTCTGATTGGTCCGGCTAAAACTCTGCCAGCGAAATCCTTGTCTATGGGAGAAATGCCAGACGGAGCAGTGAAGGGAAACTTGAATTGAGCAGAACTGCATAAGAAGGCAAGGGCCAGGCTAAAGGACCAGAGGTTATTAAAGAAAAAAAAAACATTGCAGAAATATTTGGAAAAACATCAAGTTACTTTCCTCATGTGGTGTTGGATCTGGTTTAAAAGACTAATTTTGCAGTGAAAGACTATTTTAACCTTTAAGCAAAAACTGACCTAGTTTAGGAGACATTTCTCACTCATACAGTTTGTTTTAGTGGAAGTAAAAGAATGACACATTGGTCCAACAATACTTAGGAACAGATTTTCTAACAATAATTTTCGTTTTGATTTACATTACATTTAAGTGCAGACTTTAGTTGGAAACACTAGTTTCTACACATTAGTAAATATGTTTGAACAATCAATATGTTTCCTATAATAAAAGGGGACATATCATGCTTTTAAATCTTTTTTTTTACATTTAAATCACTCAGTTGGGGTCTATATAAAGTGGAACTGCAATGCTTTGGTCTGAATTCCTCCTTATTGTACTGTAACTCCACAAGTTACACCCCTTTTCTGAGGTGTGTCTGATCAACTCGTTTTGAGGCTGTCTCTTTAAATTCAAATGAGGTGCTTCACATCCCGCCCCCCTCCACTTTCCAGAGCAGTCCATTCTAGTTTGATAGAGGTATTTATGAKTATATAGTGGTGCAGAAACTTTCATTTACAAATTAGTCAAAAGATGTCGACAAGGGAAGACATCCGTCCAGCCTTACATTTTGGAGCCAGAGTCTGACCCAGAGCCAGAGGAGAATGAAYACCACCAAACTGAGTGGTAAGTCTAGACCTTATTTAGTTGTTCCATAGCTGTTCAGAAAATGCAACAAACAGAAAACGGAAAAAAACTGAACAGGTTAAAAAAATATGACCCAACAGAATATAAAGATAACTATGCAGCACCGGGAGAAATGAAATTAAACTTTTTGCACAATTAGAGACTTCAAGTACACAACAAAATGTATTTAACGGCTAAAAAAGTGGATTTTGCAGCATGTGTCCCCTTTAAATTGACTCTACTTATATAGTGCTGTTCTATCCAGCTCCAACAGCACTCTATTTCTCTACAAAGCTAATCTAGATAAATCCTTCCATAAAGACTAGTCAGTTAGATCACATTCATACACTGATGGGACACGCATTAGAGGCCATGGGTTCAGTGTCTTGCCCAATGACACTTCAACATGTGACTTTWTATTGTGGAATTGAACTGCCAACTCCTTCATAAGAGGACAACTGCTTTAACCACTCAGCCATAGCTGCCCACAGCTTAAATGCATAAAACTTCCTCATAACAAACAACTAAATTCTCTTTAATCTAACACAGCTCAGTSTCACAGCATAAAATAAAAACTGATTTCTTCTCAGATGGATTATTTATTAGTTTATTCACTTCCAGCAGCAAAAATCACCAAATAACCCCAACAACAACCTTTTACTCTATTAGTTACCTGTGCATTTTATACAGTTTATGTCTTCAGGTATGTTTGGGAAACTGGGTTGAACTGGACTTTGCGTTTCTCTGAAAACAATGTCAGGAATCAGCAGGAACACTATTTGCTCTTTTTAAAAAGTGACCTTTTGACTCTGATTTTACTAGACTCTTAATTACCCGACTCTAGTAATTGTTAACAATGCACTTCCAGATAAAGTTTTTTTGTTTTATAACTACATGAAAAGATAAACATTGAGTGGGAGGCTGTTTCACCTGGTGACTCTCTGGTTCATCAGGCACTGCTGCAGCGTATCGGCCAACCGCTGATGAACGAGGGAGTAGCGGATGAATGCTCGTCCCTTCCCCAGAGAGGTCTTCAGCTAGAGAGGCAAAAGCAGACATAGTTTCAGGTATACACAGCTGTTAAATGGTGCTTACGCTCAAGACGCATTTGTCATTAATTTTAATAAGACACGTTTAATCTTCAAATCCAAAACGCCAGTTTTTGAGTATATTCAAGAAATTCAAGATCTACGTGGAGGATTTTCAAGGCTTCGTTACTGTCATGATGGTCTAATGGTCCAACTGAAGCACTAATGTGTCAGTGTAAAAAAATGATATGCCAAAACAAACCTATTTATTTCCAATAATTTAAGGTTCTTATAACATGAGCCTTAAARATATATAAAGAACAAAAACACACCTCAGTGATGGATTTGACAAAACGGATTCCATCATTGGCTCCCTTGATCTTAGCCAAACAGTCYGTGAAGTAATCCCAATAGTCCTTCTTGGTACCTAAAAATGTTGTTTTCTCCTTCTGGTCAAACTGTAAGAAACATGGATGAAGTGAAAATTTATATCTAACGTCTTTATAAAAAATTGAAAGACAAACAAAAGAACAAAATATATCATAATTATATTTGTAAGATGTTCCTTTGCATCATATATTACTGAAAAATGTGTTCTAAAAATAAATGGTGCCATTTTTTTATTTTTGGTATTTTTGTTTTACTTGATGRGACAATAAAAGCAAAATCCCACCTGAAGCAGGTACTCCAGTTTGTAGGAGAATTTGTGCAAAACGGTGCTGTCATCTGTGATTGGCTCCCCATTTTCCTTGTACTCCTTTGAAAGCTCTGCAACGGCATCTGGAAAGTAAAAAAAAACACAGTTCAGAGATAAAGAAAGAGTGACAGTGACACAGCTTACTTGCTTTGTTCCATCACAAACACACCAGCTGATAATTAACCATCTGGTGCCACGCTACAACATGGTGAGCTGAAAACATTTGTTGGCGATGTCTACCTGAACTGCACGGTAAAGTGTGCAAACACATATTAGAGGTGATAAATGACAYAGCAATGAGTTTTCCATTGGATATTTCACATTACTTTTTGAATTCTGACTGAACCACTTTTTTTACATGTAGTCAAAGGTAGTAAAGCTATTGTTTATTTCTCAGTTTCACTTCCTTTATTTTATTTTACAGTGTATTATCCCAACTGCACTGACTGAACAAGGTAAACMTGTGTTATTTCTACATGTTTCACTATGCTTGTGAAGCTATTGYTTTATTTAGGACRGGTGTACTGGTGCAGAGTGATCAGATACATTTTTTTTATTCAGTTCATTTATATCTGTGTTTTTTAAAAAAGAAAGAACTGTTTTAAGACAATTTAGTGGTGTTTCTTGGTATTGGATCTGTATCAGACGATACTAAACCTCAGATATCTACACTGATATTGAAAGTGAAAAGGGTGCATCTCTACACTAGTTGTCTAAACATGCTCTGTCACACTGTGTGCTGACAACACCCTCACTACACAAACATGGTCTGAGATGATTGTTTCCTTGAATTATTTATTGGTATGGAGCAGGGGTCTGCAGCCTGTGGCTCGGGGGCCACATGTGGCTCTTTGGTCCCTCTGCAGTTACTCTTTGAAGCTTTGACCAAAGCTATCATGAGAATTTTTTTTTGGTTTTTACACACACAACAACAAAAGTTTGTAAKGTTTCTTTAGCAGATTTCCTGTCWYTTTGTTTGCAAATAATGTGTCCAATGCATAAAGAGAAAAAAAATGTTGATTAGATCATGTTGACCACTTCAATAATCCAAACATCAAGCCTTAAAGCAAAATCTTTCTCCTAAATTCATTYAGGCCCCGTCACACTARGACSTTTTAGACAACTTATGAAAGTTTTAAAGACATCTACGTTGAAGATGGAATTGAAAAAATCAACTGGAAGCTTCTTTTAGATGTGTACAAACTGTAATTGTAACAAATTGATCAAATTTAAAACTTTTATAAGCAATTTAGACATAAAAAATATTTCACAAGTCGTCTAGTTTGACAGGGTCTTTAGGTTACCTTTAAAGACCATTAAGACTAGGGCTGCACAATGTATGACAAAAATATAATCATCACAATATCAGTGTGCATAATATTCATATTYCAAAGGACTGCTTGGAGTGCAATAATTATTGACAAATATATTTAAAGGGTTTTGAAGTCGTACTTTTCATGTTAATGTAATATTCAGCCAGTAAGGCAGAGTCTCACAGTAGCAAAAGCTCACACCAGACATAAATGACATAGCCAAAATGCTAAAGGTCATATAGAATAAAAAGTACAGGTTAGAAAGGGAGAAAAAAAAAGAAAAGACATTTCGTAGCATGACATATCGTTATTGCAACATTTAGAAATATTATCACCATCACAAGATTTTCTTATATTGTGCAGCCCTAATTTAGACTAGACTAAATGACAAAATTTAGAAAAAAAAAAGAATGGGCCTCATGCAAGAACCGTTCGTACACACAGATTTGTTCTTAAGTTGTGCGT